CCAAAGGACTCACGTCTGGACCCGAAATGAGCGAACCAGAGGTGGGGAAGTGGAGGGATGGTTTAAACAGTGGTGGTGTGAACAAGACACCCGCAGCCATTGAAAACCAAGTTGGAGAAGCCTATTTAATGAGGGAAAGTTCCAAAAATATCTGATCAAGTTTTAAAGAGCAGAAAAACAGGCTGGGAAATGAAAGTGTCTCAAAATCAGAGTGAACGCACGCGGTAGATTCCCTCTTCTGTCTCTAAGACGTAGAATTTCTACAGAGATCTGTAGTTATTTTAAAATTTACACAGTATTGCTTGGAAATGAAAAAAGGAAGTCACAGATCAAAACTACAGAGGACTTCCCCAAAAATGCGTAAATTAAAAGACAAGAGTCAAGACTGGGGCGGTGGGGAGCGGGCAGCTCGGTGGTAGAGCATATGTCCACTTAGTATCACAAGGCCCTGGGTTCCATCTTCAGAGAGAGAGAGAGAGAGAGAGAGAGAGAAGGAGGGAGGGAGAGGGGGAGGAGGGAGGGACTCTACAACTTCAAGTAGGAATCAAAGCCACATGATCCTCAGGGGAATGGTGCCACGTGAGCCATGGGAGCCCAGGTCTCAACACCCCCTGGGGAAAGGGGACAGACAGCAGAATTGTGCTGCTGGCTACGACTGGGGCTGGAACATAGGTCCCACCACCAAGAGTCACAGCCCAAGAGGAGACCCCTGTCTGAGTCAAGGAACTAAAACCAGGTCCCCGGTGGGGAGGACGCAGGCCTGCACCAGCTCCGTCCAGCGGGAGAAGGCTGTGGGCCGAGCGGCTGACACAGCCCTGAGGGAAGTCCTCACCGTTACAGGTAAGGGACAGAGGGAACCCTAAAGTCACCCTGAAAATCAGCTCAAACAAAACCTAGAGGACCCAGGAGACCTCGGATCCACAGCTCTGCACTCGGGAGGGTTTGTGACTGAAGAAACGAAGACGCTGGGCGATGAGAGAAAGAGTGTGTGACAAGAAGGACCCCGGGGGCCGAGGAGGGGATCCCAACATGGGGGAGAGCTGTTCAGAGAAAGTTAGGGAGAAGGGACCAGTTAGGCACCCGGGGAATACAGCCGATCATTGTGGAAGTTAAAAACTCAGAGAGGCAAAATAATAGACCAGCCACACATCAACCGAGGTAGTTAACGGGAAATCTCCCCAAAGCACCAAGAGAGAACCCAGAAAAACAGGAGACGCGGTCAAGGAACCACAGTGTGCGTGGACCCAGAAGGAGAGAACAGAGACATGGCAGAAAGGAAACTTCAACAGCGGGCTGAGATTTTTCCAGAATCAAAGAAATACCTGAATTTTCTAAGAAAAGGCACAGAATGCAAAGTACAACAAGCAAACCCCACATAGCGGTATGATCCCAAATCTGTAACGTAATCAACCAACAGAGCCTAGAAGGACATACAGCAGAATGGCCGCAGAACCTTTTCCTGGTGACACTATTGGGAGCAAAATTTTAATCTCTTCTTTAAACTTTAATGTCGTTTCTAAGTGCTCCGCAATGAAAAGACACCGTTTTATAAAGTCACTGTGGAAGAGGAGCATTGGTGATTTCAAATACACAGACACACACACACACACACACACACACGTATTTTTTTAATCTCCCCTCGATGGACTCACTCCTTTAGCCGAGGAGACGAGATGCATACAGAAAGCAAAACCCAAGCAGCCACAGCCTCGGACGATGGCTAAAGTCTGTGTCTTGATGAGTCCCAGGACACGGAGCAGGAAAACCAAGGTCCAGCCATTCACTGGACTTGCTGGGGGACCATTCCTGCAGCCAGAGTGTCTGTCCCCCAGGCAGAGGCAAAATCACCAAACCAAGAGAAGACTAGAACATCAAGCACTATTTTCACCTCTGATTTAATTATATTTCAGGACCACCAACTGATATGGGGAAAATTAACACCTCTGCTGTAAATTAGATTAACACCACAAACTCTGCCAGTCAACATTTCAATTATGATAAGGCTTTGTTCTTTTCCTCGTGTAAGCTGAGGGAAAGAAGAAAGTGTGTGTGTGTGTGTGTGTGTGTGTGTGAGTGTGTGTGTTTTAACTGATACATTAACAGCCATCCTTACCCATGGGGCACTACTACACTGCCAATGGAGAAGTGAAAATGATAAGATGTGTTCTGGACAATTTACCAAGCCATCGTCATCATAGGGGGAGACACAGGTGCCCTGCAGATTTGGAGAGGTTGAAGCTTTGGGGTCATAACGCCATCGGCGTGCCCAAGAAAGGCAGAGTTTTAGGACACGTCCCAGGCTGCCTTTGGGGCCAAATAAACACCACACGACACTCAGCTCTAAGGGAACAGGTGGCAAAGGCACGTGCCAACTAGATGTGTTACTAATGGAAGGAGAGGCTCTTCCCATCTCAGATGATTTCTTTCCTTTTTAAACACATCCAGGTTTCTCAAAATATCGCCCTTTCAAACGTCACCTGCCCATCCCACAAATGGGACCCAGCATCTGCCCCGATACTGTCCCCACTGACTTCTTGACTCCCAACCATCTGGCCTCATCCCCAACAGTTCCACCAGAATCACAGGCAGGGCAGCCTCCCCCAGACGACGCTGAAAACCCAGCCACAGTGGGGAGTTTCCAACCTCCTCCGCCATTTTTGAGCCGATGGATTCTTTCTCTCCCCTCCTGTCCGTCCCTCCTCAACCTCTCTAAAATCCCGCCTTCTCTGGAAATGACCTTTCTTTCCTGCCTCTGCCTTTTCCCGCTTCATACTTCCACCCGCATCTTCATAGGCAGGGAGGGGGGTGGTCCCCTAGGACCACCTGCTGCCACCCACATCCACTGATGTCTCAAAACTCGCTTTGTCATGGTCCCTTCCAGGGAAGGTAGGGGCTGGTCTAGGCGGTCAGAGCCTGACATTCCCTGGGTGAAGTTTCACGGGTGGGCAGGGTCACTGCTTAGCAAGGGGATGCTGGTCCATGAACACACCCCGTTTCTGGTTTTCTGCCTACAGGTAGGTGGGTAAGTCAGGGGAGAGGCTGCACACCCACCTGTCAATCAGTCTTAGAAGACAGACAACTGGAAAGACACTCAGGACTACCAGACCCAAGCCACCTTCCCGGATTCTCCTCAAATCAGAGTTTTCCACTAGGCTGTGTGGGGGGCCCCCTTGGTTCTAGAAATTTCCCCTTCAATATGGTTGATGGGGAGGTGGGATCACAGGAGGTGGGATCGTGGTGATATTTAGACCCCATGGTAATATTTAGAAGCACTGCCCCAGCCCCTGCTGGATACCGCTGTTCTCCCTCCTGGCCGGTCCTTCCTGCGTACAAGCCCTCAATCCGCTGCACCACTCGTGGCTCAGTACCTCCTAAGCAATGAGGCTTGTTTCCGGGCTTCCTGAAAAATGGGAACGGCCAAAGGAAAGGACGGGCTTGACTTGGTGAGATGTAAGATTGCAGCTTGAGACCGGAAAACCAGCTATCTAGTCCCATCCCCCACGATGTGGTCTAGCGGAGTCTCTAAACTCCATCGGAAAGTTAGAGGAGACTCTGGTAAACCCCAAGGCCCTTTCCACTTCTGAAATGGCCCATGCACTAGGGGCAGAGCATGGCCATTTCTTTCATCCAAGAAAGGAGCACCCAACACTGAGAGGTAGCTGGGAGGACATTCAACCACACACAGGGAGCCGCTAGGCTGCAAACCATTTAAAAAGAATGTTTAATAAGATGTCACATCACTGGCGCACCTCAGCGGAATGTGTTGCAGCCCAGGAGGCCTGAAAGAATTAATACAGTTCCCAGAGGGGCCGGTGGGAAGTGCTGAGCAGAGCCAGAATCGGATTTGGTGGAAATAAAAGTGCTCTGAGAACGTCAAAGGGAAAGAGACAAATGTCTGCGTGCCGACTAGGATGTCGCCTGCCATCGGAGGAACCTCTCCATGAAGGTCTAGGGGCTGGGGACCAGTACACCCCTTCCTCCCCTTCCGGACCGACTCCCGCGCCGGCCTGCATGGAGTCGCCTGCATGGAGTCAGCGTGCGCCACACCTCGGTCCTTCCTTCTCTCATTCTTCCGTTTTCCTTCTCCCTTCCAACCTTCCCCTCTCCCTCCAATTCAGCAAATCCCCCATCAGGCCCTCACAACATCTCATGCAAACCTTCAAACCCCTCTCCCCTCTCCAACCAGTGCTCCCGAGCTGCCCGCAAAAGGACCTTCGCTGTCCCCCTAAGCCAAGAGATTTGGGCGCACTCTCTTTCATTTTGAAACTCTTCCATTTCAAGACCAAGATCCATTATTGGGTGCCAATTACTCCTGTGAGGGTCTCAGAGCCCCTGCCCGAGGACCATCCCTACACAAGGGTCATGTCCGGCAAAGGCCAGGGCCCCTGCCCTGGGCCTGGAGTCACTTCTCCCACTCAAGCCCATAGGGAGAGGAGGGTCCCTCCAGGCCCCTCTAGCCTAAGGCTTCTCAGACTGCCGGCCCCTAGAGTTCATCACCCAGGGTCCCGAGGAGCAGGATATTTTCTGTCCTTTTGTATTTTACCTAAAATCTCACCACAACAGACCCACCTTTATTATGTTTTTCAAGTGATTTTTGTCACTTGTCACAAGAAGGAAAATGGGGACACTTTCCCACGCGATCAGGTAAAGTCAATATTAGAGGAACCTGAGCCGTTCTGCTCCAGTGCTCCGGGCTCCCTCTGCGCGCCACTTGCTCCCTCTGCGCGCCACTTGCCACCTCTGAGCATTTCCCCCTCCATTCCTCCTCCCATTTGCGCATTTTCCACTTTCTCCGTGGCACCCTCGGTGCCCCCAAGGACCTCACTCTCAGAACCAAGGCTAAAGCCCTTTCCACTCGTTTCCCAGTGGGGCCAGAGGTCAAGACTCCCCCCGCCTTCGGATTGCTGGGGGACAGGCCCAGGGAGCCCGAGGACCTGCGTGGCTGCCACAGATGGCGGGCGCCCTCCGGGTCCCGGCCGCCCATCTCCTCCCGGTCTTACCTTGTCAGCCATGATCATAGATGCGCCCCCGTGGATGCCCAGGATGGGGATGAAAGTCTGTGAGGAGATAAAATCCAGCATCTGGGCCACAGCCTCTTGGTCGGTGTCGTCCCCAAACACCAGGCCGTGGATTCGTGCCCCGGACATGAGGTCGCACACGTGCGTGATGAGGCTCTTGGGGTCGGTGCGGTTCATCAGCAAGGCCACCACGTTCACGTCCAGGGGCAGCCCCGCTGCCTGCTCGGGGCCCCACAGGTTTCGAAGTTGGCGCTCTGTCACGTCGTGGCTGTGACCCAGCAGCACCGCGATGTTCAGCGCTGGGGGACCCTTCTCCGCCGCCGCGCCCTGCGCCGGACCGCGCCAGACCAGAAGGGCCGGCAGCACCAGCAAGGTCCAATAGCCCAGTCTGCCCATAGTCGCCACTTACGGTCCCTGCAAGGTGGAGAGCGAGAGGCAGGGCGGCGGTGAGCCAGGGGCCCGGATGAAAGGGACTGCCGAGCGGCGCCGGGCGCGGAACCCAAGCCCAGCACGAGCCGCTGTGGTCACTCGCTCCATCCCCGGTCCCCGACGCCAGGCAGACCTCTCGACCCGTCTACAACCCGACCTACAGCTCCGGGCCGAGCCAACTCTCCACCCCGGTCCCCAAGCCCCTTCTCGAATCCCGCCGCCTTCTCCTCCCCCGTCTCCAGTCGTTTCCCCATCCTGGGCTCCGAGCACATCCCCCACCACGCTCCCCAAGTTAGCTGCAGTCTGCAGCCCCCGATGGCCCAGGCAGCCATGGACCCCGCCCAGCCGGTGGATGCACCGGGCAAATCCTCTCTCCACCGTCTACCCCCCGGGGTAGCGCAGACCAAGTTACCGACCCCGCCCCCCGCTCACGCGGAGCGAACTACAGTTCAGAGCCGGCGCGCGGAGGCGGCCCCGCTCTCCTCGCCTTCCCGAGCCCTGAGCTAGTTGACTGGCCCCACCTCCTTGGAGCCCACCCGGGGCGCTAGCACCGCTGCAGACCAGCTTCTCTCCTACAGGATTCGCCCCAAGTGCTTGGAAGTCAGGATGCTCGCTTTTGAGTCCAGGCTCTGTGGAGCCTGGGGGAACTTGGGGCCTGCCCCCCCCCCTTGAGCCCAGGGGCCACGGAGCGGCTTTCACTCAATTGCCAGCGTCCCAGGACCCGCCCCCTACACACTCGCGTGCACACAAGCGCGCACACAAACACCCTCTCTCACGCGCGCCATGTGCAATGCAGAATTCCGGAGAGTAGGCGCGTCCCCCCGCGGGCCAGCGCGTAGGAGCTGGCAAAGAACGTGCGTGGGGGGAAAGGTAGGCTCCCAAGAAGCTCTCAGACAGACGAGGACTGTACAGCCCCTCCCCGGCCTTTCCACTGCGAACCCTAGTGCCAAATCTTAGATGCACGTGGGCAGTGGGCTGCACACGCTCACGGACCACGCGCGCTTTTCTGCGCACACCCGCAGGCCGCCGTAGAGATGCCCACGGCCGGCAGGAATCCCCACACGTCCTCAGGCGGTGCCCACGCATGTGTCGCGACAAGAGTAGAGCCGCGCTTGCCTGTTAATACCAGCACTATCGTGCACGCGTGTGCAGGCGCGCGCCCCTCTGGCCAGCCACTGTTGGAGCCGGGGGAACTTGGGGCGAACTCGCACCGGCCTTGGCATTCTTTGGGTGAGCACCGCGGAGTGCGGGGCCGCAGCGCCCCCTGGTGCTCCTCTCGCGCCTCACTACTGGGCTCCCTCTCCCGCTTTCTCTTCTCCCTCTCTCCCGATCCCTCTCCCGCTCTCCCTCCAATCGAGCCTCTTTCCTCCCGGCCCACCGAACCCATATCTCCCGCTGGGACGTACCTGTAGCCGGAGAAGGTCGAGGAGGCAGTGGGGCGCGCTGCGCGCACGAGCATCTCGGCCGCCTCAGCAGCCACCGGGTTTAGCGGGTTCCCGCATGCTGCGGCCCCCGCGCGCTCCCCTGGCTGTCCCGCGCTGTCCGCATCGCCCCCACGGGGGGCGGCTATCCCAGCCGGAGGCTCTGCAGCAGGGCTCTACCGGGGCGGAGGAGAGATGGAGAAGCAGGGTCAGCCCCCGGCACGGGGAAGGGGGGTTGAGGGGAAAGCTGCATCTGCAATGCTCACTGCCCCCCTGTGCGCCCTGGGGGCTCGACCAGAGAGGGGAAGCTGAAGCTCCGTGCCCAAGACGCCCTCAGTGCGGATCCTCGGTCCCTGTGGCTGATAACTGTAGCTCCACTCAGGGGCGCTCGGCAGAATGGGAGCCCCAGGTTGGCCACCCACGGGAAGCTAACTGGGTACCTCCACCCTCTCGCCCCCTACCACCTCCCCGGAGCCGGCTGCTGGGAGTTGTGCGACCAGGAGCTGCTGAGCGAAGGGGGTAGGGAGAGAAAGAGGAGGGAAGGAGGGGGCGCTGGCGGAGTTTGCGACGAGCTGGCAGGAGGAGAGGGGGAGGGAAGGACGCGGGCACCCGCGGTCCCGGATCCCCGAGGGAGGTGCGATCACTCCCACGTAGCGACCCTCTTGCGGTCCTGCCGCCCCCTCCTATCCAGCCCTTCCACCAACCCCCTTCCCCAGGGGGCCTCCGAGGCTCCGCGCCCCGCGCCAGCACTCACCGCAGCCTCTCTCCACATAGTTCTCAGCAGTGGCCGCTCCTGGTCATCTCCAGGGCTGATGGCTGCGGCCGTGACTCTCAGCGCTCACCCGGCCCCATGCTCCGGCTAAGCCCTCGGAGCCCGCTCCAAGAGCCCCAGCTCGCTTCCTGCCCCGCTCCGGACGGCAGCCGCCTGGTCCTCGGAGCGCGCCGGAGCACCCTGTCCGCAGCCCAGCTCCAGGCTGGTGTGTGTGAGGCGAGTGTGTGTGAGAGTGGATGTGGGAGCGCGCGCGCGCGTGGGGCCGGGGATCCCCGCGGTCCCCGGCCGAGAGAGGCGCGGGCGGGGGAAGGCTGCTCCCTCGCGGCCCTGGGCTGCGGGGCCAGCTCGGCTCTGGGCGTTCGGTTCCCCGCTCCTCCGCGGGAGTCCAGAGCGCCTGGCCACCCTGGTTCACAGCTCGGGCCAAGCCGGGTTCCTGGGGCTTGCTTCTGCCGCGGTCGCCTCCGAGGAAGAGGAAGAGGAAGGCAGGGGCGCCCAGCACGCCAACTTAGGGACTTGTTCTTGGCCAGCCAGCGCAGCAGCCCCCGCGCAAGCCCGAGACGCTTGGAGCTCCGCGGGGCGAGAGCGCCTTCCGCCCGCAGCCGTCCTCCCCGGAGGCGGGCCGAGGCGGACCCCGCAGTCCCTCGGCGGCGGCGCGGAGCGCGGCCACCCGCTCCAGGAGCGCACGGCGGCGAACCAGGCCGAGATAGGTGTCTGGCTGGTGACGGGGGCGCCTGCGGTGGCGCGCGCGGCGGTCCCTAGTGCTGGATCCACGCTCTCCGCCCGCTCCCGGGCGTCTGGTGCCGCTGAAGAATCAATTATTCAGGTCTCCGCTGCCGCTTCCTCCTCCCCCAGCGCCTCGCCGGGAACAGCGGTCCCCCCGCCGGCACAGCCGCGCCGACACGCACACACCCGCACAGGGAGTCTGCTCGGCGCCTCCGCCTGTGCCTCACCGCCCCGGTCCGGGAGCCCACTCCTCTGGTGTCAGGGAGCCAGAAGCCTAGGGGCAACGACACCTACATCCCCGTCCCCTCCTTGCTTTCTAAGTTGCACCTAACAAAAGTCGCCCTGAGGTGCCACTTGTCAACCACCAGAAGGCCGAGCCAGGAAACCTGGGACTAACTGGTGTGTGGGCTGGTTGGCTGCGGTTCTGGCCACCTGGCATGGAGGAGAGGAGCCCCTTCTGCCGGCACCTGCCCCTCCAACGCCGCCTCTGCCCCTCCCCCCCCCCCCGCAGGCCCTGGAAGGAAAGCGGTCTTAGATCTTAGGGGGTCTTAAATTCGTTGTCCAAAGCTACACCCTCCACTTACTTACCAGCCTGATGTCACCTGCTAAGGTCCGAAGGTTTGTGCCGCCCATTCATATGTTAAAATTCTAACCCTCACGGGACCATATTGGGAGTCGGGGGCTTCATGGGGTGATTAAGTCGTGAGCACAGAATGACAAGGGCTCCTAGAAAAGAGATTCCAGAAAGCTAGCTAACCCCTTCCCTTTCAGACAGAAGGTGCCATCCCTGACCCAGAACCCAGCCCCACCAAACACTGAGTCTGTTTTGCCCAGGTCTTGGGTTCCCAGCCTCCAGAATTGTGAAAAATAAACTTCTGTGGTTTCTAAGCCGCCCAGGTTATAATGTTTTGTTATAGCAATTCTTCAAAACATCACCTTTAGGCCTTTATTTATCTTCCCTTAATGACTGCTGATCTGGAAAATGGGAGGGGTCAGTAAAAATACCTATTTCCCAGGGTTATTTTGAAAAGAAAAAAAAAAAAAAGCAAAAGAGTCTTGCTAAAAGAGTCAACACCGTCTGGCACACAGTAGGTGCTCATTACTGATGAAGTCCCTTTAAGGTGGCCTAGAAGGGAGGGTACTCTTTCTAGGAACCTGGCTGTGACTGCTGATATGGAGACCTCTGGATTTGTCAGTGAGCTGACTGTTGTAGGCTGAGTTCCCTGGGGTTTTATGACCCAAAAGACAAAGGAAGGGTAGGAAAGACCCAGAAGACAAATGAAAATAGGGAGCTGTGTGCTCTGAGGCAGAGAATGAGGAAATGATCTGTTTCTGCAGGCCACTGCTGGGCAGGGCTGGGCAGGCTGGCCCTCCTGAGAGTGGCAGCAGTCATTCCTGAATTTGGCACAGGGGCAGGATTCTGATTCAGGGATTGATGGGGAAGTTAGGTTGTTTTATTTAAATGAAGTATGAAAGTCAGGAGCCGGGCCTGGTGACACATGCTCAGGAGGCTGAGGCAGGAGGATCACAAGTTCAAAGCCAGCCTCAGCAACTTTAGCAAAGCCCTGAGCAACTCATTAAGACCCTGACTCTAAATAAAATTTTTAAAAGGGCTGGGGATGCAGCTCAGTGGTTAAGCACACCTGGGTTCAATCCCTAGTGAAATAATAATAATAATAATAATAAATAAGGTTTAAATTATATGCAATAAAGGGCATGTTATGGATTGGATCTGAGGTGTGTCCCCAAGAGCTTCTATTAATGCAGGAATATTCAGAGGTAAAATGATTGGATTGTGAGAGCTGTGACCTGATGGGTCCACCCGGGTCTGAAGGGACTGACCAGGTGCTAACTGTGAGCAGGTGGGGTGTGGCTGCAGGTGAGGTGGGGTGTGGCTGCAGGTGGGTGACGGGGTGTGCCTTGGAAGGTGCATCTGTCCTTTGGCCCCTTCCTCTGCTTCCTGACCCACTTGAGCTGAGCGCTTTCCTCCACTGCAGCCCAGCTTGGGCCCGGGAGAGCTGGCCATCTGTGGATGAAACTTCTGGAAGTCTTGAGTCCCACCCAAACATTTGCTCCTCGCAGTCCTTCTTGTGAGGTTTGGTCTCAGTGATGAAGGGCTGAGGACGGCACACCACTTACGGTTGTTGAGTTCTGAAGTTGTTTGCATCTGCGCAGACCATCACCTAAAACAGGGCACAGGGCATTTCCATCACTCTCAGAAAGTGCCCTTGTCCTTTGGCCATCGATTTGACTCCCCCATCTAGCAGAAACCATCATTTTTATTTCCCACACTATGTAAATAGTTTTGCTTTTTTTTTTTTATACCAGGAATTGAACCCAGGAGCACTTAACCACCGAGCCACATCCCCAGCCCTTTTTTTATATTTTATTAGAGACAGGGTCTCACTGGGTTGCTTAGGGCCTCACTGAGTTGCTGAGGCTGGCTTTGAACTCAACAGTCCTCCTGCCTCAGCCTCCCAAGCTGCTGGGATCACAGGCGCGCGCCACCACGCCTAACCCTTTTGCCTGTTCTGAACGTCATATGAGTGGAATTGGACTGTGTGTATTCTGGGTGAGCAGCTTTTTTTCACTTGATATCAGGAGGTCCGTCTATATTGCTGCATGTATTGACAGTGTTTATTTTTAAATGTTGAGTTTCCAGCTTTCCATTTATGAATAAACCACACTTTGTGTATCCAATCTCCTATGGATGGACATGTGAGCCATATCTGGGGAGCGTTTTAAAACCCAGATGTCTACCACAACTTCATTCCATCAAAATCTACAGGGGTGGGGCCAAGCAGGGACAATTTGGTTTATATTTTTATTTAATTCTATCTTTTATTAATGCATAATAATTGAGCATATGATCTTTCAACACACGCATTCAGCATGCTGTCTTCAAATCAGGGTAATCATCTTTTCCACATCCTTAACATTAACCTTTGGGGCCTTGGAACTGCTCTCTCCTAGGTCTCCATGAAATATATAACAGGTTATTGTCAACTATTATAACCTGACTGTGCTGAGGAACACTAGGACTTGGTCATTGGATCTGTGTTTTAGCACCTGTAATCCAGTCTGCCCCCCTAACCCCCTCTGCTACTGCCCTTCCAGCTCCTAAGAGAATCACTATTCTACATTCAGATCAAGTTTTTTCCTAGCTTCCACAATGAGAGGGAACATGCAGTATTTATCTTTCTGTGTCTGCTTTATTTTGCTTAGCATAAGAGTTTGATTCCTGTTTATAGCTGAATACTATTCCACTGTGTCTATATGTACCACATTGTCTTTACCCATCATTCACTGGTGGACTCCAAGGTTGATTCCACACCTTCGCTATTGTGAACAGTGCTGCAGGATATGGTTTTAAATCCACTGACTATTCTGCTGATCCTTACATTTTCCATTCTTTTTTTTTAAGAATTTTACAATATTTATTTTTTAGCTTTTGGTGGACACAACATCTTTATTTTGTACGTGGTGCTGAGGATCGAACCCAGCGCTTCGCGAATGCCAGGCGAGCACGCTACCGCTTGAGCCACATCCCCAGCCCACATTTTCCATTCTTGAATGTAGATACTGACCTGGAAATGGATTCATTGATGAAAACCACTGTATGGGGAGCCGGGAGTCATTGGTGCCCAAAGTTATAGAAAGGTGGATAAGGCAGATGCGGTCTCTTGAATGGAGGAAGAAGACAGTCGCTCATTCAAAGGAACCTTGGGTCCTTGAACACAGCCACTGTCCGCTTGGGTTGCACCAGGATGGATGTGTCCCCAGTGTGCTGAGCCATTGGGTCAGGCACCTGGAATGCCACCACCCATGTGCATGGGATCGTGACAGCCTTCCCCATGCAAAACCGCAAAACTAACCCCACCCAGAGCCTAATTTGCTGAGTAGGATGTTGTCACTTAGGTGTTTCGGATAGCAGGCCCCCTGCATCACAGCTATCCCACCCAGGACCGTGTTTAAAAAGGAAGAAAAGAAAGAAAAAGGGGAATCCATGCGGTGCTATTGTGCAGCGAATTTTGTAAATTGACTTTATCACTGATCCCATCATTCAAGTAACTGAAGTATCCAGTCTGGACCTAAGGAGCAAATCGATTGGTCTTCTAACACTACTAAAAGAGTGACCCCGTGGTCACCCTTGGGGTTGAGCGCCATTGTTAAAGACCAGTCACTATCCTGTGTCCCCAGGACAGAACTGAACTGAGCCTGTCACGGATGATGCCTCTCTTCATGTCGCTGAGCTCAAAGGAAATTGGAAAAGAATCATAGCAACATGAAGCGGAGAAGCCTTCGAGCCTGCCCTGGTTGCCCGGTTGCTGTTCTTTGTATGCGCCCACCTGAGTCGCGGTAACGTGGGATCTTACACCCAGGGTCTGAGAAGGCCTGTGGGGGAGATGGTTTTGGTTTCGGGATACATCGCTCAGAGAAGCCTACTGCACGCTACGCGGTTGCTGGTGATATACTCAGTACTGTTTCTCTGGATGTTCCCTGAGGACTCCGACTTGGTCCAGCACCTCCGTTTTGCACATGGGAGAACTGAGGCTCACACTCTCCTGAGCCCTGGCTTGAGCACCACCGGACTCTGACCACCTCTGTCTCTTTGCTTTCTCTGAGATCCTGAGCTGTGTGTCACCAGCCCAGCTTTCTTCTCTTCAGACCTCCGCTTCCCCGTTAGTAAAAGAAAGGATTAGATGATGCAGGACGACCTCAAACCTGCCTCCTGAACCAGGGTAGATCAGGGACCCTCGTCCTCGACCCCTCTCACCTTATTTCCTTTGCCCAGTCTTACACGGGGCTAACTGGCACACAAAGGCCCACTTCTGCCCGGCTGCCCCCTTCACAGCTAAAACAG